AGGGCGGATACACTCCAGTTTATATGCAGCTTGTTTGTATTCAGTCTGCAGATCACAGCCTCCATCAGAGCCTCAGACCTCCATCAGAGCCTCAGACCCCCATCGGAGCCTCAGACCTGCATCAGACCCCCATCAGAGCCTCAGACCTGCATCAGACCCCCATCGGAGCCTCAGACCTGCATCAGACCCCCATCAGAGCCTCAGACCTGCATCAGACCCCCATCAGAGCCTCAGACCTCCATCAGACCCCCATCAGAGCTTCAGAGACCCCCCAGGTGAGTGTGTGTTTACTGAGACTTAATAAGCAGCTTTTTGCACAGATTTCATGCTGATTCAGCAAACTGTGACGTCACCCTGGCTATTAACCAATCAGAGAAGACCTCAGAGATCAGCTGTTGTAGTGGTTATTATTATTGAACTCTGTCATATCTGTGTTTGTGGTACTTCAGATGTTCTTACTGAGTTCCATTAAGGTTCCTAACTACTGCTCAGATGATCAGAGCTCAGCTCCTCACCAGGGAAAGCTCCACAGCGCAGTATGAGTAAGAGTACCATGAAAAGTACCTGAGATGTGCACTTTATACAATATAAAGTGTACATAGTAGAGTATAAAGTATATCTAGTAGAGTATAAAGTATATCTAGTAGAGTATAAACTACAGTGTGTATATAAAGTATACACAGTACAGTGGGTTAGTGCGTTGGTGTTGGGATCAGGGAGCTCAGGTTCAAACCCCACTGCAGTCAGAATGTCGTTGTGTCCCTGAGACACTTCACCCCAAAGTGCTCCTGTGGGGATTGTCCACAGTGTTGAGTATGTGAGTCTCTTTGGATAAAAGCGTCTAACATGTGATGTGATGTGAAACCTTTATTTAACCAGATTGTTCCCATTGAGATCATAGATCTCTTTTTCAAGGGAGACCTGCAGATGTCAGAGTGTGTGTATGATGTGTGACAGGATTGGCTGTCAGGATGATTGGGGCCCTGGCCTCGACAGTCGCCCGCCTCCAGCGCTCCACTGCGGGCTGCCGGGCCCTGGCGCTCGGTTCGCCGAGGCGCTGCGTAACCCAGAACCAGCGGACTGCTCGGGTTCTGCAGGGCTAGGACTCGTCTGCACAGGCGGGGTTCCTTTCCAGGAAGCCCATGTCTTTCCCCGCAGAACCGCCGCCCGCAACTGGGCTTCAAGGAGCCTCGCCCCCTACCGCCCAAGAAACAGAGGTGCGTGGAAGTGGCCAGGAGACCAGCCGGGTGAAAGAACCAGAACGGGCGCAGAGCCATGCAGAACATACGAACATACAGAACTGGCATGAAACACAGAAACACCCAGATCCACAAAACATACAATAACCATTGGTGACCTACAGGGCATAGCGAGGACCCATTAGAGACCTACAGAGCGCTGACAGGAACCAATTAGAGACTACAGAGGCATAACAGACCCAATGGTTAGAACCGTACAGGAGCATACCAGAAACCAACATTGAGGACCGCTACAGAGCCTACACGGACCAAGAACCATTAGGAAACCTACGAGAGCCAAAAGAAACATGTAGAACCTACAGAGCATACAGAACCATTAGACCTACAGAAGCATACAGACCATTAGAAAGCCTAACAGCAGCACTACAGGACCGAGAACCATTCGAGCAACGCTACAGAGGCATTACAGAACGCATGTAGACACGCTACAAGCATGACACGCCCCACGCATTACAGACACCTGACCAGAGCCTACAGAGCCATCTAGACCACCTACCACGAGGCCATACAGAGACCGATCCGGTAGGAACCCTACAGAACGCATACAAGAAAACGCATGTAGGACGCTAACCGAGACGCATACCAGGCACGCCAAGAACCATTAAGACACCTACAGAGCGCACGAACCATAGAAGCCTACAGGAGCGGGCATAGCAGAACCATTAAGAACCCGTACAGAAGGGCATACAGAACGCATTAGACCTAGCAGACGCATACAGGACACGCATGTAGAACCAACAGAACGCCCCCGCATAGGACCAAGAAACCATTCACGACCTAGCAGAGGGCATACAGAACGCATTCCGAACCCTATACAGGACGGCGCTACACAACAATACAGTAACGCTACCAGAACATAGAGAACATCAGAAGCCATCAGACATCAGTAACGTAGAGAACCTGATAACATTTCGAATGTTACAGGTGCAAAGAAAGGAAGGAGTAATGATGACCTGAGTTGTGTTTCTGAAATGAGTACGATAGTAGGACAGCATACGACTGCCCCATGCTGTAATGACGGCTCGTGGGGCTGTGATTGGCTGGTTTAGGAGAGGTGAGGGCTGACAGCGGAAGAACCCGAAGCTCCATGTGGGGTCGGAGGCGCCTGTGCGACGCGACCGGACGTGGTGTTCAGGCGCGGGCGCGGCTGGGGTTGAGTCGTGGAAATGTCACAGGAGCTCACCTAAAGATGTTCTACGAGATCCTAAGCCAGAAGCCATTAACCGCCGGGTTTGACGTCCTGCAGGTGCAGAACCCGGTTCCACTGCAGTGAACCCAAGAAGCGCGCAGGGAGGCACATTGGTGAGCGTTTGGGCGGCGGCCCGCCCTCCCCCCAGACCTCGCTGCGTCATGTGATACCCTCGGGGCGAAAACACTCCAGTGTGCAGGACCATCCTTTGATTGATTCAGGCTGTGGAGTTAGAACCCTGGCCTATCCCGCCCAGTTGCCTTATGTTCACGCAGCATCATGAAGGCCTGAACGGCCGTGCGTAACGCAGCTTTCAGGGTAAAACAGCCCGGATGCTTTCCTGAAAAGGCCCCGGATGTTTCCTGAGCAGAAGCCGCCCGGATTGCTTTCCTGAAAAGCCACGGGCGGATGTTTGCCCTGAAAGGCGCGCCGCCAGGATGTCTTTGCTGACAAAGGCCGCGGGATGTTGTGCAACTTAACCAAAACATAATACGGTATACCCAGGCCTTCCTCGCCGCGCCTCTTTATTTTTCAAAAACCGTCTCGGGAGTGGGGAATATGCCAGTTACCCCCGCCGGAGTCCCACCAAAGAGAGGCGAGCCGGCTGCGGACCCGTAGCCCCGGCGTACTGCGTAGCCTTCCTGGCCCTGGAGAAGCAAGAGTGAGCGGCCTCTC